CCCCAAAACCCCAAAACCCCAAAACCCCAAAACCCCACGTATTATTAACATTATTGAGATGCAGCAAATTTCAGAGAATATTATTTTATTTATTTTTACAAAAGATAGCTCTTACACGTAAAAATACAAAGAAAGAAGCTATTGTTGTATAAACAATATGAACTTTCCTAATGTGTTTGAACCATTTGTCTGAATTGTTCTTGTCTCCCTCTTCCTCATTTAAAGAATCTGATGTTTGGTTATCATCTCACAACTCATCTCCACCTTTCTTTTCCTCTTCACTAACTTTCCTTTCCTTCCTCTCCAAATTCTCCTTAGCCTTATAATACTCCTTAAAAATCATGGGATCTCTGGACCCCTTTTTCAAAACCTCATACAAAATCTTCTCCGCTCTCTGCCACTCTCCAATCCCATTGAAAGCACATGCCATCTTATAATCATACTTCCTCTTGCTCACCTTGTCACCTTCATACAATGCTTTGTCCATCCCTTCCAAAATCTGTATGGCTTCTTTATATTCCTTCAGTTTGATCTTGGTCGTGGCTTTGTTCATCTGAACAACACGCAGGAGATCAGAGTGGGATTTCTGCAAAGAATGGTTTGCAGCAAGTTCGGATTTGGAGAATTGGGTTTTGAGATATTCGTGTGCAGAAGAGTAGTTTTTGAAAGCCTTACGGTAGTTTTCAGAGGATTGGGTGTAGTTTTGTCGGAGGATGCAGTTGCCTTTGTCTTTGAGAGCGAGGGGTTTTTGGAGAAGGGTGGGAAGGGAGGAATTTGGAGTAGAGGAAATATGTTCCTTGCTTTTTGGGGTGATTGAATCATTTTTAAGAGATTCTGAGTTGTTTTCTATGATAATTGACTCTTTCTTTTCCTCTTGGTCTGATTTTTCTTTAATATCTATACTTTTTACCTCATTTCCTTTAGTTATATCTGCTCCTAATCCTTTTTGATCTTTTTCTGAAATAGAAGGATCTTTGACAGTGGGGTTTTGAGCTTCAAGGTCTTTTTCTTGGGGGAGATCGGAGGGATTAAGTGGAGTTGTGGGATCAGAAGAGGTTTTAGGAGATAATCCCTTTTCATCATTATCTGTTGGTTTCTTTTCATCATTATCTGCTGATTTCTTTTCATCTTTCTTTTCCACTTCCCCATCATTTTCCTGCTCTCTACTACTTTCCTCTTGCTCAATAGAAGCTTCATGACGCCCATTATCATCCTTCTTGATCTCCTCAGCACCTTCCAAACCTCCACTTCCCTCATCACAAACAACATCCTTCTCCTGTCCCTCTTCCTCAACCTCCTTATTCTCAGTTCCACTTCCATAACCTCCATAAACATCCATAACCCCCCTAAATCATCTCTCCTTGTCCTCTGTCATCTCATCCTCCCTCATTACTCTCACCTATGCGCTCTTCATTACCCAAAATCTGGTTTTCTTCATTTTCCTTTTGAGCACTTTCAGAGATCTCTTCGGGAAGTTCTTCTTGAGAGGATTCTTTTGAGAGGAGGGGACCTTCAGAGGTTTCTTTGTGTTCTTCTTTGGGAGGTGTATAGGTTTTAGAATTGATATTAGTAGAAGAGTTGGGGTTTGAAGGATCGGTAACTTCCTTTTCAGGTAAGTTTGTATCGCTTCTTTCTTTTGGTTTTGAATTATGTTCATTGTTTGTTTTTGACTTTGTAGAAACCATTTCATCCGAATTCGTGTTTTGTTCTTCGAGTGAAGCGTTTTCAGATCAATCTGATTCATCATTACCATCACCATTTTTCTGTGAATTTTGTGATCTATTTGTTTCTTTCCAAACATTTTTATTCTTTTTTAAAGTTTTTCCAGGATTGGCTTCAAAGAATTCATTTATTTTTGTTTTATCATTTTCTGTTTCTCCTCCTTGAGATTCAACGTTTTCTTTTTCCTTCAAAGTATCTTCATGTTGCTTATTTTCCTCTGAGTTTTCATTGTCACATTCTTTCTGGATATCTCGGTAGGACATTTCTTTTAACTCAATACAGTTTTCTAATTCATCTTTTTTATTTTTCTCTACAGCCTCAGGCTCCTTTTCTTCCACTACGTTTTCTTGTTTCTCTTCCTCAGGCAAAACCTCTTGGGCTTGGGGCACTGAAGGGGTCTCTTCCTTGTCTTTAGGAATTTTGGGGTGTTCTTCGGGGTGTGTGCCAGGAAGGGTTAGTGCCTGGATGATTTTGGTGAGTGCTTGGTTTGTGGAGTGGGAATAAGAGGGGTAATTGAGGAGGGTTTTGGGGTCGGTGGGAGGATTTTTAGGGGGTTCTTGGGGAGGAAGTGCGTTTTGGGAGGTTGATGTTGGAGTATCTTCATTTTGGGAATTTGTATCGGGCTCGGTTTTTATAAGATCTTTGTTCTCTTTGTCAATTGTTTCCATTTTGCTTTCTCTTTTATCATCAGAGTCGCAAGTGATAGAAACTGGTTCTCTTCCTTTTTGTTCTTTATCATCATGAGTTTGTTCTTCATCATCATGATTTTGTTCTTCATCATCATGATTTTGTTCTTCATCATCATGATTTTGTTCTTCTTGGCTAAGGTTTTGAGAGATATCTTCTAAAGATGCTGTGTCTTGTATTTCTTCTATTGTTTGATTATTAGTGCATTCATTATCCTTTATGTCCTCTTGCTTTACATTAAGGACAACCTGATTAGAATCTACTTGAGTTAACTCAGATGATTTGGCTGAGCACTTGAATTCACCCTCTTTAGTTTCTTCTTTTGAGTCCTCTTCTTTCTTTTGTTCAATAAAGGGGCTATATGTATTCTCAACCAAAGTTTGATCTTGTTGAGAATTGGATGTATTGTCTTCACTTCCTCAACATGTCTTCTGATCTTTTTGGAATCAAGAATTTCCACTGTCTTGTTTTTGTGATTCTTCATGAAAGTTTAATTCCGATTTTGAAGAAGTGCTTAAGATATCTCAATTGGTTTGGTCTAGAGAATGAATATTAGCTTCATCTAGAAGACCGTTTTCATTTGAAACTTCTAATTGTCCTTCAGTATTGTCATGGGCAATCTCTCCAATACAATTTGCTATCTTAGTAATGTTCTTTCGTGATTGTTCTTGATTTTTCACTCTTAGATACTCTATCATTGCTAAGATTATTATTTTAAGAGATATTTTTATAGGATCAGCATCTTCTTTGTCATCATGTTCAACTTTAGAGGATTCTACAGTGCTTGAAATATCATGGTCTTCCTTATCTTGGTTTTTCATGTCAAAGTTTTCCGATTCTTTGACTCCAATATCTTTATCTTGAATGTCATCTTCAGTATCTTTATTTTCATTTCGAGAAATTTCTGTCAATTTTATAGAAGATCCAAAGGATTGGTTTTCTTTTGATTTTGCAGAATTAACTTCATCTTTCTTAATTGAAGTCTTCTTCTCAGAACTTTCTTGCTGTTTTTCATTAAATTTGTTCCCATCGTCAAAAAGACAATCTTTCTCTTCCTCCTTCTCTCCGGATACATCTTCTTGTCCAACCCTTAGTCTCTCCTCTACTTTTTCACTTCACTCATCTTCCTTCTTCTCACCACTCAAAGAAGTCTTCAGTTCTTCTTCAACCTTCTTCCTTACTTCAGTAATCCCTTCAGACATATCTTCTTCAAGCTTCTTTCCTTCTTCTTTTGCACTAAGCGCTTTGGGAGACACTTCCTCAGGATTCTGAGGAAGATTTTCATGCTGTATAGAGGGAGAGGAAGAAATGCTGAGTTCAGTAGGTTGGAAAGTACCTTCACCACCAGCACTCTCAAGCCACAGTCGGTAGCCTTCCCATACTTCCTGTTCCATTTGTCCTCTCTTGCATAGACCCTTACTCTCTTCTAGTCCAGTATCTTCCTGCTTAATTTCTTCTTTAACGACTGAGCTGGTCATGGGAGGGGTGGTGGGAGGACTGCCCGATGGAGTAGAGGTTTTAGTGTCAGGGTGAAGGCAAGGAGGGGAAGAAGAGTAAGAGGTTTTGGATGATGAAGGGCTTTTTTCTTCATTTGAGGAAGGATCATTGCTTTTATCATTTGCATCACTTAGTTGATGGGATTTACTGTCTATTTTGCTGAATTTTTCAGTTTCTTTTGATTCCTTTAGATTTTCAACTTTGTTTTGTTGGTTTACTAAATTGACTGTTTAGATGGATTTCTTTGATGAAATTTAAAGTGGAATAATAATTGGAGAGATATGGGTTATCTGAGAGGCATTTTAATATTAGAAAAATAAATTCTACAAAAGAGAAAGAAAATGCCATAACGCTTTGTAAACTTCCAACCCTAAAATCTTCCCTCTTCCCATCTCACCACCCCTACACTTAAAACCCATTTAAAACCTCATAAAACACCTCAAAACCCCTCTATCTGCCCTCTAAACCCTCAAAATCCCAATTCCCTAATAATCCCTTTTCCTACCTTCGCTCATTCTAAATTTATACTATCCCAATTCCTTGCCATTTAAATGGGGTTTTGGGGTTTTGGGGTTTTGGGGTTTTGGGG